AAATAAAAGGGACAAGCTAGAAAATCTGCCACTGCCAATTACTTACCAGTTTCATGGTTATATAAAAGGCTCAATCAGACCTACAATCAAGTCTTTTATAAATGCCAAATTCACTGGTGGGTGAGGATGAGAGCAAATGTTTTAATTCAGGCTTTTTACAACCATTAGTAATGATCTGTGATTGAAATAAGTTCTATTGTTACAGTAACTCAAAATCATGCAAAAATAATAATTTTGGTTCTTTTATGAGAGGAAGGCAGAATATATTAGCATTTAATCTGCCTGAAAATAACAGTGACTCACCAGAACTATCTAGATAGCAGTCAGTCATTCAGTCAACAACACTGAAGGCCTACTGCATGAAGCCTTGTTACCAAGAGGTAAAACTGGTGGTGTGGGTTCAGCTACATTGGTGTATTATAAATTTGTTCCCCTCCTTTTTTTTTTTTTTTCCAGGAAGCACCAACTAATAAGCTTCTCTATGCCAAGGATATCCCAACCTACAAAGAAGAAGTAAAATCTTATTACAAAGCAATCAGGGATTTGCCTCCATTGTCATCCTCAGAAATGGAAGAATTTTTAACTCAGGAATCTAAGGTATCGTTAGAAAGCAGAAAAAAAAGCTTGTATTTGGTTTAAGTCATTTAAGAATTTCTCAAAAAGTTTTTTTTTTTTTTTTTTTTTTTTTTTAGAAACACGAAAATGAATTTAATGAAGAAGTGGCCTTGACAGAAATTTACAAATACATCGTAAAATATTTTGATGAGGTAAGATTTTAAATAACATTGTTATAAACCTATGAGTCAGGCATCAGGATGTGGTTATAGCATTCTGTCAGTTTCAGAACAGCTCTGGCATCCCAAAAGGCCAGAAAGGGATGCCAGGAAGCCTGTCTGAGATGGGGGATCCTGGCACTGAGCCAGACCCTGCACATGGCTGCCCCTCTTAAAGTTGTATCATGCTGCCCACATTTGGACCAGCCTAAATTTACATTTGAGTTCATGGGGCCTACAGCCACACTGACTCAAGTTAACACTGATGAGTAAGTAGTGGCCCTATTAAATGGGGTCAGCTTATGCTTGATTGTAATCTGCTAAAAATGAAAGCTAAGCTTGTAAAATCTCCTAGATTCTGTATTCAATAGTTATATGAAATTATGACATATTTCTAACTTAAGGAACTATTTCAATAAACCATTCTCCTTTATGATTAATTCTCCTTAATCTGGGTTTTTTTCTTTGGAAATTCACACAGACACATTCATCAGATGCTTTGTTTCCAAACATATGTTAACTCCCCCTTCCCTGATTCCCCCCCAATCAGTCATGCTGGGACAGGCTATCCATGTCAATGGTGAGAATAGCTCACCAATTCCATTTGCTACTTGAAGATCAAGTGAAGCTCTAAGGTAGGGTAGAGGCAATGAGTTCCTTAAACATGATAAGCATCCCTCCTTCCAGGGGTCAGGGGAGAGAAGGGAAGCACTGGGGAAGGGAGGGAAGAGGAGGGACTATACTGCCCAGATGGGAGGGAAGGGAAGGATCTGTCTCTGACCAGGATGTCCCTGCCTGCTGCATTTAAGGAGAAATACTTGCCTGCATGTTGGCTGCCCAGGAATGCTTGCTGTGCTTGGAATGGCTGTGACATAATGCATAAAGCAGGGCCTTGGAAGCCTGGCCCCATATTTGAAAGCAAATAGTTGGTATTTCTTGCGAGCTTCTATTTTAAGCCAAGGTATTGTTGATCCTGTGATAATGACTTAGCAAAACAACTTGCAAAGTGAGTACGTAAATGATGGAAGAAAATGTTGGCATCTGTTTCATACAGATTTTACCACTCATACCATCAGGTATGCAAAAAACAATTGTAATGCTAAAACCACAATATCTAAAATAACTGTTCTAATTGTCAACAGATTCTAAATAAACTAGAAAGAGAACGAGGGCTGGAAGACGCTCAGAAACAACTCTTGCATGTAAAAGTCTTATTTGATGAAAAGAAGAAATGCAAGTGGATGTAAGCACTCTGGGCCCTGGCTTAATCTGGCAAAGTTCTTCAGACGACTTGGGAGCAAAATGGCTGCTTGAGCTACTCTATGTCGTTAATTTCTTGTTTGCACATAGGTTCCACTTTGAGCACTGTCTTTTTAAGAGACCAAGGCACATGCACAGCTTTTAGAAAGCATACCAACTATTGTGCCTGTGTGTATACTGTGGGAACCCTTCTGTAAATAGAGTTGAAGTGGTTGTTGCAAACAGCCTCCTTGTTTACAGAGAATACAGGGCCAGTAAGCGAGGGTCAGTATTGTAACTACAGTCTCCACTTAAGCACAATGATATAAGTGGTTTTATTTGAAAACTACAGCTATGTAGCACTTGTGCTACACTGCACCTCTGCATTGTAAAGGGATACTGTCAATGCTCAAAACAAAATGTGAAATGAGTCATCTGGAAACAAGGTGGGGGTGTTAAGGCAACCTCGAGGATTTGCAGCATTGAAACTTTCCCCAGTAGTTCTTGGAAAAGGCGACCGCAGAATTTGGTAGTGTACACTTAGCATTTGTGAGTGTGTGTGTGTGTTTAAACCAAAAACTAACAGTGTTGCAACATTGTTGAAAGGGCTCGTGTTTTTCAGTGGTCATCAACTGCACTCCATCAGACTCACCTCCATTTCACCAAGGACCTCTAAAGTAAGGAGAGTGAGTGGGCTTTATTTAAATGAACAGCATTTTAACCAGATACTTTGTTCTAATGTATGTTCCTTTTTTTCCCATCTATTTTTTCATACTAAATGTATTTGATAGTGGACATGTTGGATATTATACAAAAAAATCATTAATTCATTTGTTTCAAAACCTTTGATCAGAACAATCTGTGGAAAAGTAACCCAATTTCTATATGAGTGTCTCCTTGCTTTAGATTTCTGGTGAACCCTGTGGTTATAAATTCTTGTGTGTGATTTTAAAAAGATACATTTTACATTTCATCAAATTGCTGTTCACACTGGAGTATTATATATAAATATATATATTTGAGGCCCAAGGCCTAAAAAATATTAGTATACAACTTGGTATCTTAGTCTTACTATGTACTTTTGGAAAGTATTCCTCACAGGAGAAAGAATTTAAAATGCCCATTTATTCATGCCTTTCTTTTTAAAGAATTCTCTATCCAGTTATACTGTAGTCTTTTTAGTGCTAATTTTTTATTCCTGAATTTTTGCTGCTCATGACCAATTTTAATACCACTGTGTTTTCCTTCTATTAAACCAGAAGAAGTAAACAGCATAATTGGCAACTCTTGAGCTTTTCTTGTGGCAGGCACCTTTTACCCTTGGTGCTCCAAATTCCCCCTCTAGGAAAGAAATTTTTTCAAGTCAAATAACATTGATCACATATTCCTTGAAATCATTTACCAACAATCTATGGAGCATCAGGATTTAAATATGGATTTGTCTTAGATAAATGCAATTCCTTTTTGCTCCTGAATTATCTGGAAAAGCATGAGAGTGGTGACACCTCTACAAACTGATCAGAGAAAATAAGCAGTTACTACCCCTGATAGGCACCTTCCCGATCCTGTTGCTTTTGAACATTGTCTGTCCGATGGACACACCTCAAACAAAACTACCAAATAGGTTACCTATCAGAATAAAGGTGAGAGAGAGGTCTGGTCCCCATCTAAGGCTGCTACAGTCTTCAAAGAGGCGAAGTTCATAAGAGAACAAAAGTAGGAGAGTTGAGAGCCAAGAGTAGGAGAGTTGCCCAAAAGACTTCCCCTACTTTAGGGTACTAAAAACTCAAAGGATCAGCTACAGCTTTATCTAAGTATTTACTAAATGCTACATGAGGGTGTCCCTGTCCAGCTTTCTGGCACATGAGTCCTGTGTGGAGAGTTACCTCCTCTTCCAGGGACTGTGCTGTTGGGAACTTTGGGCAAGTCACTTACCTCTTTGTGCCTCAATTTCTGTATAATATTTCTAAACTACCTCACTGAGGTGGTATGAAGATTCACTAATGTATGTAGCGTGTTTGTCAATCCTCCAGTGAAAAGCACTATCTAGATCACATTTTGGATCACATTAGCCAAATGCAGTAAATGGCCAAATTAGATGTGTGCTGAAGACAATCAGTCACTGGGTCTATATTAAACAGCAACCAGAGCAACAAATGGCAAACAATTTCAAGTTTCTTTGCATATTTTTTTGGTGCAAAACAATTCATTTATAAACTTTTTTTTCTAACACTAGTGTCTACAGCAGCATTTAAAAAATTCTGTTACCTTTTCTGTATTAGGATTTAAAGTCTATTTCTTATTGTATACCTGATTGAAGCTGTTCTTCGAGATGAATGTTTTAAATGTCTATATCCAAAAAATAAACATTTTGATGTAACTGTGGACTGTCTTTTTTCAATTTTCTAGTTAGAATAAAAATCTATTATAAATGGCTCCATGGAAATTATTTTTCAGAGACAAGGTATCACTGTATACACTGTGAATAAGCAGCTATATTATGTAGTAAATAAACCTAGTTTCTTGCTAAATGGTGCTAAGGACTGCTCAATTACAATCCTGGCCTCCACTATCAACCTGGACTTTAGACCTTTGGATAATGAACTTAATTTGGGAGACCTGAGCTTTCGCCTCATTAACATGGAATTATTCCAGCAGAATTCCTCTAAAAGATGTCACATTTAAAAAGCTTCCAATGGGTGTAGAGTAAAAAAAAAAATAAGAGCATACTTAGGGACACAAATAAAACACATAATTATTTGGTTAGATCCACAGCAGTGGGGAAGTAAAGTTAAATTCCAGCAACCCTTATAAAGGTACCTACCTGGGTTCAAGTTTTACAATCAATGGCCCACTTGTTAATACTGCCACAGGATTTAATTAGTTGCACTTACTCTCTATTCTAATGAAGCCAAAATCAGTAGACTGTCATCATATTGCCAAATATATGCTATATGGTTGATGTAAAGTTAAACACAAGACAATATGTAGATTAAAATATTTAAGCTCTTTAATTATGTGCACACAGCTTTTAGAAAAGGTAGCCTTCTGTAATGTATATAGATACCTTTACATTCTTTATGCTGACTTTTAAATTGTCATCTTTTTTCAACTACAGTTTTTTGTATATAGTAAACCAGAAGATGTGTATGGACCCAGTTATTGCCAAGCATTTTGAAGAGGGAATTAATGATATTGTTCTACATTATCAAACCACTGTCAAATATTCTAAATATATCTGAGACTTTTAATGCTTCACTTGTAGAATTCTAAAATCTGTATGATAGTCACGCAATACAGCATGTAGTAGGTACCTTTTCTTGAGGCACATTCAAGTGTTTTGGCAAACAGTAAAATGTATCTAAATGCCACAGGTTAAAACGTCAAGTTTTACTGAGTCACCGACTTCACCTCTTTTGATCTGCCTGTTCTCCAAGAACATCATTCTCCAGAAGATCCAAGTTCCTCCAATTGTTTTCTTTGTGTTGTTTCCAGTTCTTCTAGTCTTTTGCGAAGTAGAGAGAGTTCCCTTTGATGTTGTTCCTCCTTAAAATGATGTAGAGAAAGCATAGCAAAAGAAACTATTAAACAAACTAGTATAAAAGTAACTGTTAGGCAGCAGCCTTGGTCTGCCTCTTTTACATATGCCTATAGTATCTGGCAAGGAAGTGCTGACCACTGTAGCAGTCTAAAAAAAAGTAGCATGGGCTAAACTACCACCTATTTTGCTTCTCTCCTGCCTCAGGCTCTAGCCTTAAGCAAAACCCATAGTCTGTTCTTCACTAGGTATAAAATTCACCAGGGAGTGAATTAGAAAATATTAATGCCGGGCCCAGGTATACTTACATGGCAACTTTCCAACAACACTGGTGTTTAACAGAAGTTTATTATAAACAAAGCACTTGGCCTGAGATTCAATTCAGTGATTAAAATCATCTGTGCTTACAATATTATAAAACATAATTACTTATTAATAGTCCATCTTCTAAAAACGAATCAAACAATCTGATTTCTTCAATACCTCAGGGGCCTGATACAATAGAAATAACCCAGGTTTTGGATTCAATGGGTTTAGGTTTGAAACTTAGTCACTTATTAGCTATGACCTTACGCAAGTCACTTCACTCTTAGTTCCCTTATCTATGAATTAGGAATAATAATATCTGCCCTCAAAGCATTTTTCGTTAGTATTAGACATTGCATGGAACACACACAGTTCACTGCATTAGTAAATGCTCAGTAGTCATTAGTATTAACATTATGAGTAAGCTACAAACTCTAGGTTACTCAAGGACTCAATCAAATTTCCTCTTTTCAATTGCCCAGTAAGATATTTCACTCCCAGCACCATCACTAAAGAATCATGATTGAAACCAAATTCAGCAAATTTCTATGATAAATGAAAGGGAAGAAGTTAAAACTGCTTTTAAATGTTTATGCCATTTTTGTGGTGAATTTTGAGCACTGACCAAAGTTATAATTTGAGTTTTATCACCACATTTAAATATAAAGACGTACAAAAATGTATGACTAACTTTTTTTTCCCCTAAAATAAATGCTCATACCTGCATATGAGGAGGAAATGGTAGTTCCATGCTTGGAACCATGGCTGGTGACTGAAAGCTAACAGGATTGATAGATGCTGTTGGAGGCATGTTAGGAACCAAAATTAGACTTCGAAATTCATTATGTCTTCTCTGTATATCTTTTAGTCTTTTTTGAAGCCTGGTATAGTCTTCAAAAGGAACATTTTGTCTTAAAGAGAAAAAGAAGTGTTGTTTTAATATGGTTATACCCTATTGAAGCACAGTATGATTCACAGAATATAATTTTAAACTGGAAGAGAAAGATTTCTAAGTTATGAGATCTATCTATATATAATATATAAATAAAAAATCTGTTTACCTAGAAAGATAAACAGAAACATGATATAACATCTTAATCATATGCAATCATTAGCATTGCAGGCTATCATCTCATTATAAAGTTTTATTTGCTAATTAAAGATCTAAAATCTTTTGATACTTTGGTACTCATTCCTCCAAATTCACCCTCCCACTCACCTCCATTCATGAATCCTGAATCTAAAGGGAGACTCTTTAAACCAAAAGAATGCCTTATCTTACAGAAAGAATCAAATAAAAATACAGTTCATCCCTCAGTATACACATGGGATTAGTCCTCATATATCGAAGCCTATGCATACTCAAGTCCTGCAGTCAGCCCTGCAGAACTCACATAATGGAAAAGTTGGATCTCTGAACTGGTGGGTTTCACATCCTGTGAATACTGTATTTTCGATCCATGTTTGCCTGAAAAAAAATCTGCATATAAGTAGACCCATGCAATTCAAGCCCATGTTGTCAAGGGTCAAGTGTAAAGAAAATGCTGAATTGAACCTTACAAAATTGCCATTTTTATAGGTGAAATATGGACAAGTATTTGAATTAGAATTTCACATAGTTCAATCTAATTTTTTAAATGTCAGTATGATATTATAGTAAGAAATACATATTTGGTCTTTGCCCTGGTTCCTGGCACACAGCTCCTAAAACTCTGGGAATCTCTGCAGTGATAAGAGTATCTTTTGTGTATTAATAAGACGACTGGTGGCTACAGGCCCCTGAATAGCTTCACAATGGGGCAGGTCACCAGAAAAACCAAGGCATGATTAGAGGGTTGGAACTTTCAGCCCCACTCTCCAACCCTACCCCATAACATCTGGGAAGGTAGAGGGCTAAGGTTTGAGTTGATCACCAATGGCCAATGATGTAATCAATCATGTCTATGTAATGAAGCCTCCATAAAAATCCAAAAGGACGGGGTCAGAGAGCTTCTGGGCTGCTGAACACATGGAGGTATCTGAAGGCAGGCATGCCCAGAGAGGGCATGGAAACTCCACATCCCCTTCCTCGTACCTTTTCCTATGTATCTCTTTTAGGTGGCTGCTCATCTATATCTTTTGTAATATCCTTTCTAATAAACTGGTTAACATAAGTAAAGTCTCCTTGTGTTTTGTAAGCTGCTCTAGCAAATTAATGGAACATGATGAGCAGGTCATGGGAATCCCAATTTATAGCCATTTTTAGCCTGTCAGTCAGAAGCACGGATTACAACCTGGAGCTTATGGCTGCATTCTGAAGTTGGGGGGCTGTCTTGTGGGACTGAGTCCTCTACTTGTGGGATCTCATGCTAAATCCAGGTAGATAGTATCAGACTTATAATTACTGAATTATAGGACACCTAGTTCATGTCCATTGGAGAACTGATTAATTCATATATAGGAAAAAACCTCAAACATCTGGTGTCAGAATTGTTGTGTTGACTGTGTGAGAATAGGAAAAACACTGGTTTTTCCTATTATAATAGGTAATCACAAACATGAAGCTCCATGACTTTAGGAAAGAATGACATGGAGAAAAAAGGCTTAATTTCCAGGCCTTCACAGATCATCATCTTTTTGGACATGACATTCATAACCATTAATCACAAAAGTAGTCAAATATAATTTCAAAATCAGTCAAATTCTAGATGATCTGCATCATAGCTGGCCAATCTTGAATTGCTAACATTTCAATATTGTTTATGGAAGAGGAAGTAAGTTTAATTTTGTTTCAGAAGGACTGAGCCAGGAATGGTGGCTCATGCTTATAATACCCGTGCTTTGAGATGCTGAGGCAGGAGAATGGATTAAGCCTAGGAGTCTGAGGCTACAGTTAAGTATGATTGTGCCACTGCACTCCACCCTGGACAAGAGACCAAGAGCCTATTTAAAAAAAAAAAAAAAAAATTGAAACAAAATTCAAAATTACAAGCATGTTTGTAATTTATAAATTACTACAAAATTAATAAACTAAAGGTGGCTTGCTACTTTGGAATACAGTATTGTAAGGCTGGCAGTAATTCTACAGTCTAGAAAACTCTAGAATGTTGTTTAAAAAACAATTGTTTGCATTTTGATAATAACTGTACCCAAGAACACCAGTGCACATCATAAAACATCACTGCATGATATTATAGCAATTTCCACTACAGAAAATTTGAATACTTAATAGCTAAGGTGCTGGAGACTATCACTAATTCACTAAAATCAAAAGATTTTTCTTAACTTGAATCAAACGGGTCATATAATGCCACTACCACCAACTTAGTATGACAAATCTCTGCCTTTAAACATACTGACGATCCTGATCATCGAATATGCTTGGATGTGACTGCAAAACCCGAAACCATAGCTCAATAACTCTTCACACCAGGAAACCAAAAACTGACCTTTGATTCAAAGTTGTAGCCACAACTTTCAGAACTACGCAACAGCTACAACTGTCTTGTCTCAGCAGCACGAGCTGACACCACTCCTAGCTACCCAAGTCAGTGACCTTTTCTGTTAGTCCAAACATAACACTAACACCTGGCATGTGACAGAGACCTTTTGGTTTGGAGGAACCTTCAGTTGGGGGGATAAACAGAATAGTCCATTAGGAGTTATCAAGCTGTCTTAGCAATCTTTTAAATGCACATTTTAAAAGAAAAGAAGGTATGTTATACTTAGAGACTGAGTTCTATGACATCAAAATAACCACATGGGGAAGATACACATACAAACACATTACCTATTTAACACCTGATTTTCTGTTTCCAATTCTTCTTTCTTTGCCTCCAAGACTTCTACTTTCTCCCGTAGTCTTTTCAATTTGTTTTCATGAAGAGATTTTCTCTAGAAAAAGAGAAACATGAACAAGTATGTCAATACATAATCTCTTATTTGAACTAAACTATATAGAAAATATTTTACTCACCAAAAACTGTATTTATATATGAATGTTTTCAGTGAATACTAGGAAAAAAGATTAGTAGACATGGCTCTTACTGAAAATTGCAAAGACAGTAAACCACAAATCTATTATCCTCAATGTGACAAATAATTATGAATGCCAAACCAAATAATAGGTATCAATAATTGCTGCAAATAAAAAAATCTACAAAGAGAAGGAGTTAAATTTTACTATTGGGTCTGCCTGTACATCTGATAAGAAATAATGAGCTCCGCTGGGCTTCGTGGCTCACATCTGTAATCCTAGCACTTTGGGAGACTGAGGTGGGCGGATCATAAGGTCAAGACATCAAGACCATCCTGGCCAACACGGTGAAACCCCGTCTCTACTAAAAAATACAAAAATTAGCTGGGCGTAGTGGCATGTGCCTATAGTCCCAGCTACTTGGGAGGCTGAGACAGGAGAATTGCTTAAACCTGGGAGGCAGGGGTTGCAGTGAGCCGAGATCGTGCCACTGCACTCCAGCCTGGCAACAGAGCGAAACTTTGTCTCAAAAAAAGAAAGAAATAATGAGCTCTCCATTGTCCCAGAACATAGCATGTGTTTACGAGAACTGAGCCAAGCACAGTGGGAGGCTGAGGCAGGAGGATGGATTAACCCTAGGAATTCAAGGCTACAGTTAGCTATGATTGTGCCACTCCACCCTACACAACAGACCAAGATCCCCCATCTTAAAAATAAATAAATAAAAATAAAATTCAAAATTACAAGCATGTTTGTCATTTATAAATTACTACCAAATTAATAAAGGGACAGAAAGCTAAGACAGATATGGATGCATCTGTTTAAAAGTTGCCTTTCTAAATCTTAGAAGGAAAACATTTAAACTTTATAATATACAAAGGAAAGAATTCCTAAAAGTAAATCTTGTATGGTTTTATTAAATAATATTGAAAAGTCCAGGTAAAATGCAAAAGAAGTAAATGGAAAAAAGTCGTATTTTTTTCAGTCGTATTTTTTTCAAAACAGATCTTTTGTTTTTTAATAGAAAACACCTATAATGTTAAAACTCATTTAGTAGCTACAAACCTTTTAGTTATTTTTCTTCTTAACTGAAGTATAATCCTATAGAAAAATGCATGGAATACAAATGTAAAGCTCAATGAAAAACCTCAAAATAAATGATGGCACGACTCCCCTGTAGGTCAGAGTACTACCATGCTAAAAGGACCCTGCCTTTCCCCCTTCCAATCGCTAGCCCCACCATCCTCTGAAAAGGTAACCAACTAATTTACTTCCAAAACTCTAGTTTACTTTTGCCTATTTTTGAACGTCATATACATAGTGTGTATTCTTTTATTATGACTTTCACTCAACATTGTGAGATGTTATACACTTTATTCACTGCCACATATTATATTCCACTTATGATTACTGCATAGTCTAGTATATTCACTCAGCATACCATTAAGAGTTATCTACATTGTTTCTGGTTGGGACTATTACAAATAACTTTGCTACAAGTATTCTTTCTCATGCTTTGATTGTCCCACATCCTCCAATATCCCAGAAGGCTTTCTTATGCTCCTGTCTACCCTGACAAAGGAACTACTCTTCTGGTCTTTATCACCATAGGTATTTACTTACGTATTTATAGATAGTTAAGGAGTCCATCTATCCATCCACCCATTAATATGAAAGAAAGCATAAATGTATGCTCTTTTGTATCTGGACTTTTTTCCTCAACATTTTATCTATATGACTAAGCCGTGGTGTTGTATGTCACAGTTTTTTAACGTTGTCATCCATTGTACAAATATACCACATTTTATCCATTTTCCTGTTGATGAAAATTTAAATTGTTTCCAGTTTGGGGATATCATAAAACATTTATGAACATTCCTAAACATGTTTTTGGCAGAAGTACCTCATTCTCTTGTGTATATACCTATGAGTGGGTCATAGTGTATACATGCTTTAGCTTTAGTAGATACAGCTAGTTTTCTAAATCAGTTCTACCAACTTCATGACCACCAGCAATACGTAAGAGTTCTGCCTGTTCTACGTTTTAGCCAATACTTGGTATGGTCAGTCTTTTAGCTATTTTGGTGAAATACAGTAGTATCTCAATGTAGTTTTAATGTGCATTTTCCTTAGAGCTAAAGATATTGAGAGCTTTTTCTTATGCATGTTAGTCACCTGGATCTCTCTCGTTAAGTATCCATCCCAGTGTTTTGTCCATTAAAACTTTTGAGTAACCTGGTTCCTATTTGTAGTTCTTTATATATTCAAAATATGAAACATTTGTCAGATATATATGTATTGCAGATTGACCTTCTCCAGACTGTGGTGTCATTTTCTTACTCTTAAGAGTATCCCTTAATAAAAAGTTTTTAATTTAAATAAAATTACATCAATCATATATTTTATAGTAAGTGCTTTCTGCATCCTGTTTATCTTTACTATCCCAAGATCCTAAAATTTTCTCCCAAGTTTTCATCTAGAAGCTTTTTTAAGAAAATCTTTTACACTTAGGTCTATGGTTCATTTTCTTTTTTTTTTTTTTTGAGACGGAGTCTCACTCTGTAGCCCAGGCTGGAGTGCAGTGGTGCACAATCTTGGCTCACTGCAACCTCTACCTCCCGGGTCCCGGTTCAAGCAATTCTCCTGCCTCAGCCTCCCGAGTAGCTGGGATTACAGGCATGTGTCACCATGCCCAGCTAATTTTTGTATTTTTAGTAGAGACGAGATTTCACCATGTTGGCCAGGCTGGTCTCGAACTCCTGACCTCGTGATCTGCCCACCTTGGCCTCCCAAAGTGTGGATTACAGGTGTGAGCCACTATGCCCTGCCTTTGGTTCATTTTTATCTATGTTGTGAGGTTGGGCTGAGTTTAATTAATTGACTCAGTACTATTTATTTGAAAGACCATCCTGTATTGAAATGCAGTGGTACCTTAAATGTAAACCTATTTCTGGACCCTACACTGTTCCATTTGTCTGTTTATCCTTATGCCAATACCACAATGAATTACTGTAGCATAAGTTTAGTGTTGATATCTGGTAGTTAAGTCCTCTAGCTTTACTGTTCTTCAAGACTGCTTTGGTTATTCTAGTCCTTTGTACTTTCAGATGAATTTTAGAATCTACTTTCTAATTTCTACAAAGAAACCTGCTGAGACTTTGATTAGAACTGTATTCAACTTATGGATTAATTTGGGAAGAACTGACGTCTTAATACTGAATCTTCCAACTCATGAATATGGTACAGTTTTCCCTTTATCTAGGCATTTTTAAATTTTTCTTAGCAATATTTGTATTTCTGTGTAGAGGTGAGGTCATAAACGTCTTTCACTAGATTTATTCCTAGGTATTTTATATATTTTTATGCTATTGTAAATAGCATTGAAATATTTTCTAATTATGTGTGTAAAGAAAAATAGTATTTGTTACTTGACTTTGTATCTAGAAATTTTAAAAATTCACATTAATAGTTGAATTTTATGCATGCACAGTGACATTTGTGAATGATAACTTCCTCCCTTCTACTCTTTGTCCATTTCTTCTTTCTTAAAACATTTTTTAGGTTCAGAGGACCATGTGCAGATTTGTTTTATAGGTAAACTCATGTGCAGATTGGTTTGATAGGTAAACAGATTACTTCATCACCCAGGTACTAAGCCTAGTACCTATTTTTTTCCAATCCTCTCCTTCCTCCCATGCTCCACTCTCAAGTAGGCCCCAGTGCCTGCCATTCCCTTCTTTGTGTCCATGTGTTCTCATCATTTAGCTCCCACTTATGAGAATGAGAACATGCAGTATTTGGTTTCCTTTTCTCATGTTAGTGTGCTAAGGATAATGGTGTCAATGCTCCATCCATGTACCTATAAAGGACATTATCTCTTTCTTTTTTATGGCTGTATAGTATTTCATGGTGTATATATACTGCATTTTCTTTATCCAGTCTGCCATTGATGGGCATTTAGGTTGATTCCATGCCTTTGCTATTGTGAAGTGTTGCAATGAACATATGCATGTGTGTGTCTTTATGGCAGACCGATTTATATTACTTTAGGTACATACCCAGTAATGGGATTGATGGGTCCAATGGTAGTTCTGTTTTTTTCAGCTCTTTGAGGAATTAGCACACTGCTTTTCCACAATAGTTAATTCGTACTCCTACTAACAGCATGTAAGTATTCCCTTTTCTCCACAACCTCGTCAGAATCTGTTATTATTTTTTAATAGCCATTCTGACTGGTGTGAGACAACATCTCATTGTGGTTTTGATTTGCATTTCTCTAATGATCAATGATATTGAGCTCTTTTTCATATGCTTGTTGGTCACATGTATGTCTTCTTTTGAAAATGATCTGTTCATGTCCTTTGCCCACTTTTGATTGGGGTTGTTTTTTTCCTTTAAGTTCTTTATAGATGCTAGATAGACCTTTGTCAGATGCATAGTTTGCAAATATCTTCTCCCATTCTGTAGGTGTGTATACTCTGTTGACAGTTTCTTTTGCTGTGCAGAAGCTCTTAAGTTTAATTAGTACCCATTTATCAATTTTTGCTTTTGCTGTGATTGCTTTTGGCATCTTCGGCATGAAATCTTTGCCAGTTCCTATGTCCTGAATGGTATTGCTGAGGTTGTCCTCCAGTGTTTCTATCGTTTTGGATTTAAGTCTTTAATCCTTCTTAAGTTGATTTTTGTATATGGTGTAAGGAAGAGGTCCAGTTTCAATCTTCTGCATATGGCTAGCTGGTTATCTGAGAACCATTTAATGAATGGAGTGTCCTTTTTCCCATTGCTTTTGTCAGCTTTGTTGAAGATCAGATGATTGTAGGTGTGAGGCCTTATTTCTGGTTACTCTGTTCTGTTCCATTGGTCTATGTGTCTGTTTCTGAATCAATATCATGCTGTTTTGGTTACTGTTGCCCTATAG